TACTACTACTACTACTACTACTACTACTACTACTACTACTACTACTACTACTACTACTACTACTACTACTACTACTACTACTACTCTGACTACGACTACTACTACGACGAATACTACGACGACGACGACGACGACGATACTCTTTAGACCCCTGGATTGTTTGCTAGGGCGGGGGTTGCTAATTCAGATCCAACATTACTCCACCAAACCATGTGCTTGGTCCCCTTGTCAGAGTAGTTGATTCTGAACAATCAGCCATTCGTTGTTTGCATCTACTGTATATGGCTATGAAAACAACAGATTCCTTCTGAAAAAAAGCGGTGCTTTCAGGGTTTTGTCCCTTCCGAAACCCGATCGCTCATTTCGACCGGTGAAGCATCTCCAAATCGCCGCACGAGAAAGCTCCCCCAGAATCTGCCTCGATGTCGAAGGCATAGACTTGGACCTTCACCTCCGGCATGGCCTTCCAGGTCCAGTGGTGTGCAGGAGTTCCATCATTCAAAACAGCGACCTGCTCTTGAGCTTGATGCTGAACATTGAACCATGCAGCGGCACACTGGCATCTAACAATTATTGGATCCTCCACCGAGCAAGGACGGTGCAAACGTAGCTCCTGGCATCACTACTAGGAGCAAGGACGCTACTTTTGTGAGCTCCCTACGAAGCAACAGAAGCAAAGTCTCAAAAAATAATAATTGCATAATTTAGGGAAACGTACAAAAACAATACTAATAAAAATACAAAAACACTACAACACAAATTGGGAAAAAAGGAATGAACATAGGACTGTCACACAGAAACACAAGCAGACTGGACAGTCTGTGATAGAAACCAGCACTTCCAGAGGAAGAAAGGGAACACAACATTTGTCAAAGAGGCACTGCAACAGGTAACTGTTCACTGATTGAAACCCAAGTAGAGGCTGCATGGGGCATAGACAAAGGCCAGCACAACAAAGCAAAGATCACGCAAGAGGCACATTGAGATTTGAATAGACCAGGATATTTTGAGTATAAGTAATTACTAGCCAGCCAGGGGAAAGCAACAAGGAAGGAATGACAGGTTACCTCAGTAAGACGGCAAGTGAAGAGCGGTCATAGCAAGGCCTTGAATATGTCTCCCAGTTTCTCCCTTTAATGAATTAGTAGCGGCTACTTATAAAACCATTTGATAAATAACTTGCCGTTGAATCTTGACGCTGAGGATAATATCATATCCCAATAGAACCAGCTGTTTCTGAATTACTATATATATATATAGGTTTAAAAAGGCCTTTAGGGGCATCTATTTGGATGGTCTGTGGGTCTCATTGACTACCCTTGTGACACGTACACGATGGGATCAGGGTTTGCACCAGCCGGTGCCTCCAAGAAGGCTTGGATCAAGGGCAGCCGCACCAACACCGAATCCGCTGTGGATGCCGAGGTGTCCACGTAGACTATCCACGAATCCGGTGAAAAGGCCTGGCATGGGTGCTGCATTGCGCCATGTTGCCATTGGGTGTGCCATTGGCAGGTGGCAACGTGCAAGATGAAAAAGAGTTCAAAACAAAAGCAATGGCAAGTGGAACAAATGATGTCCCCTTTCAACATGTGTCACACAAAAATACTGTCACACCTGCCTCCTAGTGCCTTGATTTGTTTTACATGCTGAAGTTGTGAGTATGTGGCACCAGTCAGAAGTAACAACTCCGTGTGCAGCATCCGGACGGATGGGAAGTTCAGTGTTGGGACGAAGTGCTTTGGGACGAAGTCACCCATTTCGGGTGATGTCTTCTAATGACTTTCTTGAGTCCCCAAGACTATAATGATCTAGAATGATTGTTTGACATTGTTTCACCCATCTTCTGTGTATTCAAGGAATCCAAGAACCCAACATCTTTGTCGTCTTCCAGCCCCAATATTGCTCCCGCGACCGCTAAAGATAGCGCCCCACCCGGCTGGAGGTATTGGACTCATCAATCACGAAGCTCGAGACCATCTGCCCTCCATCCACTGAGAAGCTCTTGGACACCGCCAACGGCTCCCACAGATCGATCTGCACGTCGCTCTGCGCGACGTAGTGCTCGCGCTCCGTGGCGAAGTGCATCGCTTCGTTCTCCGTGACGGTGCTCAGGAGCGGGGCACCATCCACCTGGAGGCGCGAGGCGCGGAGGTGCCGTCTTTTGGTTGATCGAGCAGAGAGTCGGCCAAAGGATGCACGCATACCACATCGTACCACATCATATCACATATAATCACATGGTTTCGAGGAAGCGACGAACTGCCCCCCATTTGGACATGAAGGTCGGTTCAGTGAGTTCATGCTTAGGGGTTCTGCCTCGTCTGCCTCCATGCCACCAACACTGTCAAGTGGTGGAATAAAAGCGCCAGAAGTATAGGATAGTATAGGTCAACAACGGGCATAACGGGGAATGCCATGGCCAACAACGGGAATCACAGGGCATGGAATGTCATGGATGTCTTGGGAGAAAATGCGAGCACATAGCACTTTGGCCATGTCTCAGTTGATGTGTTGCTGTACAAGGACAGCCAAGGACACCTGCCAAACAAATCCAAACGCACTATTAAACATCAAGGGGATCCTTTGCCTTTATACAGGTGACATCAAAGAATTGTTGCTTGCACAGTGGGGTTGGATGTTCAATGAACATCCTATAGTATAAATCAATTCGTACCGAACACCGGAGCATCTTACAGTGTTGAGAATAAGTTGATCTTTGGTAATTGGAGATGCAAACAACGCCGCACTTCTTTCGTCCCGAAGCTGCTGTGAATCCCTAAGACTTCAAATATCTGCTTTGGTGGGGCCCCCACCCTATTTGGCGCGTGAGATACATTGAGTCTGGACACTGCCCCGTCCATAACCAGTTTGGCCCCAAAGCATCGAGCCACGTTCTCTCCGGTCAAGCGACGACGTACGGTGCAGCCTCCGCCGAGGCACGGTGCAGTTGGCACTGAAGCCTCCATTGAAGCCGCGCACGCTGGCTGCGAAGGAGAAGTTGTGGATTTCCTCAGCAAGCGAGGTGGTGAAGAAAGGATGGGCAGTGCGGCCTCACCAATAGTGATCAATAGCGGGCACGAACATCCTTCAAACAACGCTTGACTGAGGACGGTCTACTACACGCCCATTTGTTCAATGACTCTCCCCGCGTCTCTGCGAGACTGTTCTGCTCAGTAGTATCTTTCTCCAAATGAACGACAAAGCTAGACGGTTGTGCTCTAAGTAGCACCTGAGAGTCCTCACTAGTGTGAATGGTTGTGCACTTCGACACCTCAGCAGATGGAACTTCGTGGTTTGCCATCATGCAAAACCCAAAGTTCATCTTCATGGTAAACAGATATGCAGTTAAATCAAGAAGTTACTAGGGGCCAGGGGCTCCTGGCATCGCTACTCGGAGCAAGGACGCTACTGGGGGCTCCTGGCCGTACTACTAGGAGCAAGAAGCTAGCATTTAAATTGAGGGTGATTACCCGAACCAGATCAGGCCAGCATCGGGCAAGCCAGCGAGCGGAATCGTCAGAGTTCGATGCCAGTTGCGCATGGGGATGGTGATCGTATAGGAAAGGATCAATCTGACCTCAACTCCCAACACATTGACTCTGAGTAGAAGAAACAGGGGGAATGCTCACGTGATCATTTGCAATACTTGTTTTTTCATCTCAAGAGCGAGTGCCACACTCCACAACTTCTGAAACTTCATGCGAGGAAAGGGAGGACCGACATGGACCATGGGGCAACTGATCCCTTTCCTGCTTCCCAGCACCTGTACCAGTCCCAAAAATCGTTTGTGCCCTCTCTGTCTTCTGAAGTTTCACCTGTCCTTCCCTGGTCTTTTGGTAAGAGGAAAGCATGCTAAAAAGCAGGGGAAAGGTACGGAAAGGTTATTTTTGCTTTGTCACTTGACAACTTGAGGTTAGTCTGGTACCAACACAAAGGCCAAGCAAAAACTAGCAAAACTTTCTCAGCAAATGGCAGCAGAACAACTGCATGGGGATCGATGGGAAAGACCCGAGCGGTAAAGATATTTCCTCTGAACGGGCTAAAGACGCAAACCTCAAACAGCTATGACATGCTATGACTCTGTCAGACTCTTTCAGAGGCATCATGATGAAAAACAAACTGCCAAGGAAAAAGAAACTGCCTGCATCTGGCCAGCCTCAGCCTTTTGATGGTCCACTTGTTCGACTCACATGTACATAAGAAGCCCATAAATTCAATATATTCAATTTCACTATTTCTGTGCTGACTTTCTGCTCAAAGGAATTCAACACTTCTAAAACCGTGAACATTGAAAGAAGAAACATCCCGTTTGGACGTTTGAAAGAACAAATTCTCCAACATCATCTACCTCTTTTAATCTCCGTATGCAAGGTAAAGGTGGTCATCTTCGCTGGACTGCAGGACTCCAGGACTCCTTCTTGTTGTTCTCGCCTTCATGTCTAACAGAACCTTAGTCCTTCTCGCTGGTGCAGGAAGCCTGTTCCTTCTTGTGGTTCTCGCCTTCATCCCCAACAGACTTCCTTCAGTCTCCTTCCTCCTCGCTTCCGCCGTCCGTGACCTCGCTCGCTCGCGAATTGCCGTCTGTCCTTGGCTCTGCTCCAGCAGTGCAGGGTCACGCGCTTCGTGCAGGATCTCCCGGTAGACCTTCTGAGCCTTCGAGCGGTTCACCACTTCGCCTCCGAGTCATTTTACCGGAATTGGAAGGTGGGAATGACATGGAATGACTGAGTTCAGACATTGTCAGGTCCTTTTTCACACCGGAGTTTGAATGACTGAGTGAGGCCCTTTGAATGACTTCCGGAGTTTGGATTGGGAATCGAATTCCGGTCCAAGTTCCAACGAACAGAAAAACATTGCATGACAAAGTCCAAGAATTGGATCTCAAAGCCCGAAAAAGGAAGCATGGCAGGTCACAGCTGGCTTGATCGACCCCTTTTTCTTGCGCACATGACGAAGTGATCGAACCACTCCTGCGAAACCACCCCGCCCTCGCCCGTTCTCCTTACGGGCGGGGTCGTTCACAACCCATCGACTGATTTCCATTGTTCCACGGCAGCCGCCCAGAAAACCGTGCTTTTCGAATGAAAGGCCTACGGAGTCAGCATCATGATTGGAAACTTGTCCCACACCGTTTCTTTAACTTGGCTTTAAGGATCTTTAAGGAATTATATAGACTCGAAATCAGCGGGAGAATACAGTAGTATATGTTCACAGGAGATCCTTTTTGGTTTCAACAATTGATGGTAGGAAATACCTGCGTCAAATCAATTTGATAGCTGGCACTAGCCACAACCTCCAAAGACAAAACACATGTCACATGACCAGCACCCGAACGAGATACACTTATGCCGAAAGAACATGTCTTCACCTGCTGCTGCCGCGCAACACCCCCCTTTGTTGGGCCTTCCATTAGCTTCCCCTGGATCTCCATCGCCAAGCGCGAGGGCATGGCTGCCGAGCCCTCTGGGCCAATGGGCAGCTGAAAGGAGAAGCGGCCCTCCATGCGCCGCGGCTGAGGATTTTGGAAGACCAACTCATTCTCCACCTGACGGCTTTGGTGCTGGAAATAGCACCAAACTGCTTGACCGACCCACCAAAAGCCGTGGTATGCCGCGGCCTATGCACTTGCTTCGACCGACCACTCTGCTTGGGGTGTTTCTCGCTGACCGTGAAGATGACGTGGAGGTTGAGTTCTTCCTACTGGCTTGTTGGCACCATGGCATGGCTCAGGACAGAACAAGCATCCACATGATATAATTTCATCAAACTTCTTGACAGGACCACAGAATCGTGCAGAGTCCGCAAGGTGCGTCCCAAAGCCTGCATGCACATTCTCCTAGAACCAGAAGACCCAGGAGCACGACTTGCCTTGCTGCTTGGATGATTTTGGGTTCCCCCAAACTTTGCAAGCGGTTCGGACCCTCCTGTTTGAACCCCGCCCACGAGCGGCGAGGTGCCAAGGCGAATGGCCCAACCACAGCTGTGCTGATGGCCAAGCGGAGGAACAGCAGCTCTTGTCCTGCTGGGTCTTGCAAGGACACGGCTGGCGCTGCCAAAGGCGCAGCCAGGCCACAAGCCTCTGCCAACCCGGGCAGGGGCGGAGGTGGACAACAACGGCAACATCCTCAACTTGTGGAAGTGGGGTGGGGCTTCTGGGTAGGGTGCCAGTGGGCCTTCATTGTAGCGAATGTGACCAAGCATTCCATAATGTTTTGCAAAATCCATCCCTCAAAACGAATGTTGCCACCAGGTTGCCAGCACGAGAAGTTGGTAAAGCATCAATGTGGCACTCTGCACGCGCTGCGCAGCTTAAAACTTGAGCCACTCGGACGGAAAAGGCATCGGATGGCTCAAACTGAAAGAGAGAGAGAGAGAGAAAGGTGAATATACACGAACAACTATCTATAGCCTATAGCCTCTAGCTATAAATAAACATCACATAACAGAACGGAAGCTGTTCAGCAAATTCAAGCTAAGCAATCTCTACCTGACCCATAGATTCTGGTGGATGTTGTTTTCCACCATGGACAAAACTACTGACTCTCCTGGTGTCAACCAACACCCATCAGGTCACGGGGAACAGAACAGCATCATCAGGTCACATTGGCCTGCGGCCTGAACATCATAGAACACCAATATCCACCAACTGCTGTGAAGGCAAGAACATGAATCACACATCTGGCAAAGCATTGGCTTGAATATGCCTGAACTACCACGAGGTACCGGAAAGAGGTTAGACACACTGGTGTTGGGTAGGTGTCTGCAGTCCATCAACTTCCGACCTTGGCTTCAGCGCAGTCAACCCCCCAATTGTTTAGTGGTGCCACGGTGAAAACTACGTCTGCAGTCTCGTTAGCTTCAGCTCCTCTCATCTCTCCTCCCAGCAAGCCTCCCCCTCTGCCATCTCCTGAAGGGCCCAGAAGGTGTCGTTCCTTCGCGGTGATTTCACCAGCTGAAGTCGTCCAAACCAGTCAAAGTGAGCCCAAACCCCACTGGTGGTGAGCCCTGGCAGGTAGAGACACCTTTTGGTTGGTTGGCTGGATTCATGTGGCAACCCAGAGCTGGTGGTGCTTGCTTCTTGAAAATCTGGTCAGGCTTCATTGTGGACACGTGTGAACATGTACCGTATTGGGACATCTTCTTCAGAAAAGGCATCTGCTTAAACCTCACTTGCGATATCAGCTGCTGAATTGCAACAAATTGAGGGTGTGTATCAAGAGAACTAGGAGCAAGAAGCTACTCGTAGCAAAGGGCATCGCTACTAGGAGCAAGGACGCTACTAGGGGCTCCTGGCATCGCTGCTAGGAGCAAGAAGCTCCTAGCAGAGGTGCACAGTAATCGAACACAGCAGGAACAAAGGACAGGTCTCCTGGACCACCCACGGGCGTCCTTGCCGCCCCCACCCAACGGATGGCGCCTGGTCAAGGCATCGGAATCCAACTGCAAACGCCGCAGAGTGCCAGGACCCCTGGCGGCACAGCTGCACTGGCTGGGAATTCTAGCAAAGGATCACACTCTGCTTGGATGTGGCATGTGGCATGTTTGCCCTTTGTGCAAACACTTAGGTTCTATCATCTTTGACTGGGAGTTGTCTCGCTCGGACTAGCACCCACCACCACCCTTCTGGAGAAATGCTCTTCATCTGGCCATCAAAATTCTCAAAGGTTGCTAAGGAGAAAGACCGGCAAAGAAAATCCCTGAAACCCCAAGCGCTGGTGGGGTGGGTCGTGGGTCACCAAGCGCCGCTCAGCTTTGAATCTGCGCGAACTCGTGGCTCCCAACCTCTCCACGATGGTGCCAGGCACGGTCTCACGGCCGCCCAGCCATCCTGATCAAAAGGGACTCTCAAAATGTTTGATGTTGACATGAAGACCAAGTGGAAGGTGGCAGGATCATATGTTCACTGGTGATGTCAGTGATGCATCAGTGATTCAACACTGCCAACATCGCAGAAGGATGTCAGCCCCGAACACCGGCGGCGCTGCGGCCGAGATGCCACTCGCCAAGGCCACTGCAGCGCGTGCGCCAACACCAGCGCTGCGCCAGGCACCGACCGGCGCGGAGACGCTCAAGTCGATTGGGGTGCCTGGAGCGTTGGTTGATGGTCGCCTGGAGCGTTTGTGGAATATTGTTTCCTTGTTGATAAATATTCATAGTGCTGATCCTCATAGTTTGGATGGATCACACTCAAATTCCAAACCAAATCATGCTGCAAAGATCTGCAAAGTCTTCAAAAGCATATAGGTACATGATGGCCTACAGGAGCAAGTAGGAGTCCACCATCGACATGGAGAGCGACTCTGACTACTTTGATCTTTTGCATCGAAGTGCACAAGTACAGTAGATTGCAATATAGTATGTACGTAACTTATACTAGCAGATGGAGGAGTAAGTTCTTGTGATCTACAGTTCAATGCTCATGTTCGTTCTCCATCATCCTTTTTCCCGAAAGCATTGCGAAGGGTTCTTCCGGAAAATCACTTGAACACGTGCACTGCTATACTTACACTTGAGTCACTTGAACACGTACACTGCAGTACTTACACTTGAACACTTACACTTCTATAATACTTACACGTGAATCACTTGAACACGTACACTGCTATACTGACACTTGAACACTTACACTTCTATACTTAACAATGGCACAGAAGTATCCAAGTGTAAGTATCCCAGTGTAAGAGTGAAAGCATCCAAGTGCAAGTATGCAAGTGCAAATATCCCAGTGCAAGTATGCAGGTGTGCAGGTGTAAGTAAGTATCCCAGTGCAAGTATGCAAGTGTGAGTATGAGTATGAAAGTTTTCACGGGAGATATCCTAATGAAAAACATTTCCTCACTTTATGAATTCTCTTTAAAGGCGGAGGGTGGGACGAACAGCGTCAACCGAAGCCCTCTGCGGAGATCGTGCGTGTCGAGTGCGCGAAATGCAGGAGAGAGCGCGATTTGTTCTGCCCGCGGGCAACCCTCTGCGGAGATCGCGCGTGTCGAGTGCGCGGAACGCAGGCGAGAGTGCGATTTGTCCGTGGCGCGGGCAACCCTCTGCGGAGATCGTGCGTGTCGAGTGCGCGAAATGCAGGCGAGAGCGCGATCTTTCCGGTGCCCGCGCAACCCTCTGCGAAGATCGTGCGTGTCGAGTGCGCGAAATGCAGGCGAGAGAGCGATTTGTCCGGTGCCCGCGCGACCCTCTGCGGAGATCGCGCGTGTCGAGTGCGCGAAATGCAGGCGAGAGTGCGATTTATCCGGCGCCCGCGCGACCCTCATGCGGAGATCGTGCGTGTCGAGTGCGCGAAATGCAGGCGAGAGTGCGATTTGTCCGGTGCTCGCGCAACCCTCTGCGGAGATCGTGCGTGTCGAGTGCGCGAAATGCAGCCGACAGGGAGATGTGTCCCATGTGCGCGTGTGTCTGGGGAGCTCGAAGATGAGAGACTGGCAACTTGCTAGTACAACTGTAGTACGCGGAGTAGCTGGGAGCTGGAAGATGCGACTTTGTAGTAAAACTTTAGTACGCGGAGTATCTGGGGAGCTGGAAGATGAGAACTGGGGACTTGGTAGTACAACTTTAGTACGCGGAGTATCTGGGGAGCTGGAAGATGAGAACTGGCGACTTTGTCGTACAACTTTAGTACGCGCAGTATCTGGGGAGCTGGAAGATGAGAACTGGTGACTTGGTAGTACAACTTTAGCGCGGAATATCTGGGGAGCTGGAAGATGAGAACTGGCGACTTTGTAGTATGACTTCAGTACGCGGAGTATCTGGGGAGCTGGAAGATGAGAACTGGCGACTTGGTGCACAGAGACAGACACAGATACACACATAAACACACACACACAGAGACCCACACACGGACTCGACACACTAGACTTAACACTTCACACTTAACACTTAACACAAAAATCACATTAGACTTCAGACGCGGTGAACCATGCTTTTTGGTGTGAGCATTTTTGGCTTACACCGAACCAGTGAGTACAGTGTGCTTGCGCAGAAACAATGTGCTAGCTTCAGAACTGAGTGCCTAACCTGGAGTTATACCTAGTGGCTCAAGCTGGACGTCGTTCTGCGGAAGGACAACAAGGCCGTCACTGGACATAATGTCGGGGAATCTTTTCTGTAAACAAAGGCGAGTCGCGAGCTGAGCAGAGAGAGCGCGCGAAAACATACACAATGGCTGCTGCGTGTCACCTCAAGCTACTTAGGTACGTTTTTGTTTGGGACAGTCAATTAGAAAATGACCAGCATAGTGGTTGGTTAACAACATCTCAAATGAAGCAATTGTTACCTTTAGAGCCCTGTGGCTGCCATGCATTTGTGCAACCAGACTGTGCATTCCGCATAGCTTACCTCTTGGTGCTCAAAGTGAGATTGCAGAAGTCTCCATAGAACTTGGGTCAGCTACCACCAGATCTTAGCCAGAAACTAAAGCAACTCAACAGCAATGAAGAATGTGCGCGAAAGAAGTTTCAACACACCCCACAAGCTTGTAACTGAGTGCCTAACCTG